TATTCCTCCCCTTCGTTGAGACTCACACAAGTGCTGCTGTAATTTATGTCCCACCGAGCTCTCGCGCCGCTGACGGACAGAAACGCCGACAGATTGCCAGCCGTACCGAGACTCGTGTGGACGTCTGTGTGTAGGCGTAGGTGCGAGGGGAGGTGTGTACGTCAGACACATCCAGGAACACATGCGCGGCCGCAAACAAACACAACGCACACTCCCATCTCGTTCTGTCACGCACAACTCAGCTTTCGCAAACAGTTTAATAAATGACTTTAATTGGATGTAGAGATGTGCACGCTAAAGGGAGGCTTGAATCTTCTGCTTCCTTTCTTCTTTGCACACACACACCCTCCTGGATGAAGCCATCTCTTTACCTTTACTCACAGCTCCTGGGTCTGCTGTGGCTAATTAGCTGAGTGGGGTTTTAGGTTTGGTAATTAGGCAGAGGTAGATGTGATGGGGGCTCTGGGAGTTGGGGAGTTGAAGGGGGCCTGACTGAGTTGCAGAGAGGGAAACCGGACTGTCTGGATGCTGGCAGCACCGAGCAGCAAAGCCAGCGTCCCTAAGGTGCCCGGAGGTAAGACTACCACGCCACGCTACCAGGGCGATGTCTTTGTTACGTGACACGTAGAAGAGCAAGATGAGGGGAACGGAAAAATGGGAGAAACGGGGAAAATCTTCTGGCGTTTTATTTCCTCCAGTGCCCGTGCTATCTTTTGATAATTGTAGAAAAAGATGATTAGCTTTTCCACTCAGCTGTGTAAACACATTCATCTATGATGTGGAGTAAACTTGGGCAGCCTCCACTGTGGCCCTGCAACGAATACAAAATGGTGCTAATAGCCCGAACTCAAAGAAAACGCTGCCGATTCAGCAGTAACACAACAAAACCAGTCTCTGGTTTATTATTAAATCCCATTAGCAACATTTAAAACCATATAGGGCTGTAGTTTGTTATTCTTATTTAATTCTGATAAGAACAAAAGGGCTCCTTTTACGTAAAAGTAAACCTGAAAATATCCAGTTTTCTTTTGGAATACTTCATTAAACACAATTAGTCGGAGTGCGTTTGAATCATCCTGTGTTAAATCCAGATTTTGCTTCATATCAAAGTTGAAACTGTTGGTGGGTCATTCCCAGACATACCAGTAACTAAAATAAGAGCAGAATTTCTTGAGTTTTTTTTTTTTTTTTAACCCCCGTACACCAGTCAGCAGCTACATCTCCAGAAGACCCTCTCCGTCTTTAATGTCTTGTTTACGCTCCACGCTGATCCATGCCGGTTAGCAGCCGAGGACTCGCAACACAATCCAATTAAATAAAGACTGTTGTCTCTCAAGGTTCCTGTGTTCTCTAATTGGGGCTGTGACTGCTCACTAATCTATGGCGGAGCAGGTAGGGCCCCCAGGAGACACCAAGGCCAGGACTCTCTTGGTAATTGCAGACGCCAAACCCAGCCTTCAGCATAGATGCATCGAATCCTTACAAACAGCCGAAACCGTCGTCTCCATCGGCTTCTGTGTGCCACCTGAACGAGCTAAACTCAACGTGATGTCCAAAGAGTGGCTTGATGAGGCCCAGAGGCACCATTACAGGCGGGCAATGGCTGCCCCTAAAAACTGTCCCGCTGAATACAGACAACCAGTCTAAAACCAGTGTCCTCAACATCAGGATGCAGGGTCTCTGGTGGTTTTTTGTCTATAAATATAAATGTAGGAGGATATATATATATATATATATGTATATATATATATATACATATATATATAATAAACTGAGTAGGAACGCTGTTTTTCAGAAACTAATATGGCCAGAAAGAGCAAAGTAAAGTAAATGATTAATTTGGGATAACAATAATAAAATGTATGTATTCTTCATTGTGCTTTTTTGTTCTTTAATTCCCCGTTTAGCATATTAATAAACTACTTTAGTTTACAAAAGTACGCAGCAATATAAAATGTTTTTAAAATAGCGCACTCCCATAGTGGGAAAAAACCAACACTTTTGTGGGATTCAGTTTGTTTGTGGCTCCTCAGATTGAAGAAGTCCTTTGGGTGAAACATCTCAGCAGAAAAAGAAACCGTCTAGATGACCCGACTGAACATTGTTGGATTTGTACCTGGATTTCTGAGCATGAACTTTGCTGTTTTTAAATAATTAGAATAAGTGGCTTTAAACTTGAGAAAGCTTGTTTTTAAAAAAATGTTTTGTTCAATGTTCTCCTTTAAATTAAAGATGTACATTTGACTTTTTAATGGAAAAGGACAAAAGGATTATTTACGGCCTTCCGTGCGTGTAAAGGTACAAAAACTGGACTACTTTGTTCTGGTCTCTGCACATGTTCAGTTATTTTACCTGTAAAATAATAAACTGAGTTAATTCCTTAACTCGCGTGGCGCTAAAGTTTTCAAATCTCTTTGATTTGGGATTTTCAGTGGGCCCAACATGGCCGCCCCATTTACAAAAGTACCGCTGATTAGGCCCCGTCTATACACCACCCCAGAATTTTGTCATCTCTACCGACATATTAAAAAACGGATAAAGAAGATTGTTAGCCTGGATAAACACCCACCAACTGACTGGCGTGTAAAAATATGCTGGAACGTTTCTAAGAAGCTCTGACTCTCCTGTAAACACGACACACAACCAAGTGAAATTTTACCAAGTGTTTTTTTTTTAATACCAAAAACTTTGTCTAAAAGTTGGCAAACCCAGAAAAAAAAAACGTTTCTAAAAGAACCGGAGTGGCATGGACGCATCTAGAAGCTCCAATTAAATTAAATTTCAGTTTTTTGTTCCGATGATAAAATGTGACCACGCAGGATGTTTGGTGTTGAACCAGATCGTCAAGCAACGGACGAGCTGAAAGGCTTGAAGCGTAGAGCAAACTGCATCACTTTCTAGCATCACCGGGAACAAATGTTCGGTAAATAACCGGTAAAATTCATCTTAGAGCACAGATATTTGAAGAATCACTGTCTGCGTGTTGTTTTTCTACAGCGTGGGTTTTAAAGGGCCTTGGCGTGTTACAGATTTCCTGCAACACGCTGTGGTCACACGTGTAACGTGTTTCACGCTGGGTTATATTCTGAGTCGCCACCTGGACAAGGAACGAGCTCAGGGCGCTAAAAGACGTGGCCGTGCCCGACAGGAGCAGGTTTGTTGTAGAGCTCATATTGGAGCAACCTGCACATTTAAATGGAAGAACTTCTGCACGTGCTGCTTTAAAGGAGTTCAACATTTCAGCACACAAGGGCTCTCTGAAGAAAAACATGGATTTTTAATCCAAGTGAATATACTGTTTATGTTTTGGATAAACTCACCATAAATAAAAAAACATGTTTAAAAAACGGTGTCAAGCGATTGATTTATTTTCCAGTTTACATTTTCTAGTCTTCCTGGTTAGCGGGACTCGTGTGAACGTTTCTAACTCTCAACTCTGATTTTCTTCTAAACCTTTTTTCATCACGCAACTCGCTCAGCAATTTTCATTTCAGCTATTTCAACAATTCATGCATCAAAACATTCAGCTCGTTCAGGATGGCTTTTGGTATTTGTGCATTTTTTACTTTTTGAAATACTTAACTTTGTCGGCCATCTTCCTTGCAGATGGAGCTCTTCACTTCCTTCAAACACTTTGAGCTGTTTAAACCTTTTACTGCTCATTTTAGCTTTTTTCTGCTCCTTTCAGCTAATTTCAGCTTTTTAAGCTCCTTTCTGGTAAGTTATTTTTTCTGCTTTGTTAGCTACTTTATTTCTTCTTCAGCTAATTTTAGCCTTTTGTGATTATTTTGAATTCCCCCATTTGTTAATTTCAGCATTTTTATTTGCCTTTTCAGTTACTTTATTGCTAATTTCTATTTCTACTCATTTCAGTTTGTTTTGCTAATTCAGATTTTTTTATTCCAGTGGTTCTCAAACTGGGGTCCATGTCATGAGCCAGTGCTTGGGGGTCCACCAAAAACAATTTTTTTTTACAAGCATGTAATGTTTAACAGCCTGTTAAAATATAGAAAATGCAGGAAATCACATCTACTTTAATCAACATTTTCTGGGGGAGGAGCCCCAGACCCACCTCCTATTTGCCTTCCAGCAGTTTACAAATGAAACCCCGTCCCACTACTGCTGCCATGATTCTGTTCAGTTTGATGTAAAAAACTTTCTGTAATCATTTGAAAATTTATCCTGTTCATTATGTGAATAGTCAAAGTTTTAAACTGGTTTTCGATGCTGTTAATTTTCTCAAAACTGTAATTTTTGGAAGCTGGAAAAATAACTGTCTTGAATGAAAAATAGCCCATGTTTAAAAATATAAAAAAATGTATTAGCACTATTAAAGAACAGGGCTTAAGTATTTGTTACAGAAATATTTCCATTGTATTAAAAAGAGACAAATTGAAGAAAATAATTTGATAAACATGAGGGGTCCCTGAACCCAAAGAGTTTGAGCCCCCTGCTCTGCTGAGTCGGCATATTTAAACTCTTCTACACATTTGTGACACTTTTCTGCTCATACGTTCCAGCGTTTATTAAAAGTCAGCTGTTCAAACTCAGCTGGCACTAACAGTTTGTCAATGAAACCTTTTCAGCTTTTTAAGCAGCTTTCAGCAATAAGCATTCACACAACTGCAAGAAATGCAATTTCTCCACTTCTTTAATATATATATTTAACTTTGAGCAGCTTCGGGGCACGTGAATAAAAAGATTGATTGTGTGATTTCTGCTCCCGTCAGCCACTAACAGGTGGCAAAACGCCAAACACACCTGGAGCAGCGCTCACTTCCGACGGGCTCGCACCGACGTTCAGCCCCCGTTAGAAAAACAATGAGGCTCATCATAAAATATTTATGGGGGATAAAGTACTTCAGAGCGCTACAAGCAAGCACATTATGGCAGCAGCTCGAAAATAATTTCACAGGTCGGATTGGATGATAGATTAAGGAAAAGATGAAAATATTTTAAAGGTGAAACAAGCTTGTGCAAAGAACGCAATTTTTCAGATAAGAAGTTCTTAAAAAAATCTCACAAAAACAATCATTTTATAAAACAATTTTCAGTTTGTCTATTCATTAAATAATCCGTCTTATTGCTTGTTGTTGAGACTTTAAGACAATAAAGCCGCCCTGGTAGTTCAGTTCAATCACAGCTTGCTATGACTTGCAGGAGGAGTCACTTCTACGACTACCTTCCCCCGGTTCTTCCCAGCATACATGTAGTCCACAGCTCTGAAAACAGAGTCCAGGCCCACAAACCTCCCCTCCTCTGACGTCTCCCCACAGTCCACCTCACACACCAGCTCCCCTTTGGCGAACATCTGCATCATGCTGCTCAGAGCCTCCCTGTAGTCGCTGAGGAAGTGGGGCAGGAAGAAACCCCGGATGCTGGCCGACTTCTGGAGCAGTTTGACGGGCAGAGTTCCTCCTCTGAAGGGTGGGATCCCCGACGCGCTCTGATAGCCTGAAATAAAGCCGATCACGATCAGCCGGCCTTTATTAGCCAGACTGTTCACTGCCAGTTCCAAGATGCTGCCTCCGACTGACTCGTACACCACGTCTAGGCCTGCTGGGTACTCCTTCCTCAGCGTTGCACCGAGATCTTCCGTGGTGTAGTTGATCGGTCTGTCGCACCCGATGGATTTAAGGAAGCCGACCTTCTCGTCAGAGGAACAAGTCCCGATCACGTGGCAGCCAGCTCGTTTGGCGAACTGCACGGCGAACTGCCCCGTTCCTCCCGCCGCGGCCGTGACCAGGACGGTCTCGCCTTTGGCCAGGTCACCCAGACGCTTCAAGGCAATGCAGGCCGTGGCACCGCTCACCAGCAGGGTGAGGAACTCCGGCTTCACCGAGGGAACAGGAACGCTTTCTTTGGCTGGAACCACCGTGTACTCTGCGAACGCACCGCTGCCAAAGTAGGCCACGACGTCTCCAACAGCGTAGCGTGAGCTGGCGCTGAGTCCGAGGCCGACGACCTCGCCGATTCCCTCAAAACCAGCGTCAAAGGGAGGCTTCACGGAGGGGTCGTACCGGCCTGCGGAGTAATTAATGTCAGAGGCGTTGATCCCCACAAAACTGAAACAGACAAAGAAATACAGGTTAGAAACATAAGGTCGGGACTTCAGACTCTTTTCTCCAGAGGTGCCAGATTCAAACACCGACCAATGCCATCACTGCGGCGTTGTTGAAGAACGGTAAACAGACTGTATTTATACAACACTGTTCTATCTGATAAAGACACTCAAAGCTCTTTACACTACAATCTGTGCCCTCATTTACCCATTCATACAGCACTCTACTAGATCTATACAAAGAATAATCCGTGCTTTTAGATCACATTCATACATGGATGGGACACACAACGGAAGCAATGAGGGACACTTCAGCATGTGACTGGTGGTGGAGTTGAACCCCCAACTCTTGCATTGGAGGACGACTGCTCTAACCACTCATCCACAGCTGACCAGAAAGAAGAACTGAGACGCTAACCTGCTAAAACCTAAACTTTAATAAGAAAACAACTGTTGAACATTTGTTAAGAGGTGACAAAAATCTAATGTAATAAACATAAAAATACTAAAACATTACACGGACATAAATAATAATAAAAATATATAAATAAAACCTCCCAATGACTGTATTTTATTGAAATTTGCCCTGGGGACAGATAATGGACAGTCTGTCTGTAGCCCACGTGTTGACAGCCTTCATGTTTGATCCTCCTGTCCCGGCTGGTGACGTAGGGGGGGGGGGGGGGGGGGTGATGGACAGACAGGAGGCGGAACTTGGACTAACAGCAGCCTTTAATCCTCGCCGAGTTTTTACCATCTCGGGATGAAGAGGAGTGAACACCGAGGTAAGACTTTTTTCCTCTTTAGATTACTTTTTTTTTTTTTTTTCCGGGTCACGCAAACTTACCGATTCCTGACGAGCAGCTCGGCGTCTCCCGGCGTCGGAACCGACACGGTGCGGACGGAGACGGCCTCTCGGAACCGGGGGCTGAGCTCGGTGACGACCAGCTTCTTCATGGTGCTCGCGATGGAGGCGCCTTTAAAATCCATGAAGTGAGCCGAGTAGGACATGTCGATGATGGAGCGCCGCGGCCGGACTCCCGGAAGACCCCGGCCCGCGAGGAGGAGGAGGCGGGGCGGCGCCGCCAGGCTGGACATGACGGCAAAGTTCAACTCGCGAGCTTCGACCGTTAGCTTGATCACAGGGCTCTCACTGCGCACGTGCGGAGCAGGCCGGGGCAGCGGCTAGCTCCGGTGAAAAAAACACTCCGGTTTGTAGCTAAACTCTCTGTTCGAAGCTAAAGCGGGCTCAGAGTGGATGTTTGTTAAATATTGTTTGAGGGGGAGTACAACCTGCCCGCCCCGCCGCCGCTTCGTCTCCGCAGGAAAAGTCAGCGGAGCACCTCCCCTTCTTCCCGCCCGGACACAACCACACTTCCTGGTTAGGTGAAACACACGCGCGCGCACACACACACACACACGAGAACAGCTCAGATTTAACCCAGCGCTCAAAAATAACGCGGTTACTCTCTTCATTCAGAACACCGGTGTTGTATAAAAAAATGTACACCGGCGCAAAAAGCTCCCAGCGGCGCTTCCTGAAAGGTGCGTTTTTATTTATTCATCCGTTTTCCACGCACTCTGGACGAAACTACAGCTCACATCTAAAGCTGCGAGTATAAAAGTTTGTTTATTTTTATTTATTTATTTGTCGGCGGTTTTAAAAGCAAAGAGAGAGAGGGGAGAGAGAGAGAGAGAGAGAGAGAGAGAATGAGGGAGGGTGAAAACAAGACAATTAAAAAGATTGACAGGTAGCTCCTCTGTCAGGGGTGACGCTGGTGGAGGGGAGGAGTAAAATGGAGCAGGAAAAGCCACTCGATGCGTCTGTCTGTCAGTGGAGCCCGTCTCAAAGAGCTCCCACACCGAGGATCGCTCCTGGACCTCCCTCCGAACAGCCTCCCCTCATTTAAACACTCAGATTCTCATTTCGCCTCGATCTTATGTCCGTTTGTTGTTGTTTATTATTTTTCCGGGGGGGTGGCACTGGATATTTGTTCCTCTCTCTTCCTCACCGCATCAACAACCAGCCCGGCGGAGATGCGGTGAAATCCTCACGATTCCTCAAACGTAAGCTTTTTATTTTTTTTTGATCTGGAGAGGGAAGTGTCGGGACTCGAACCATCTAATCCGTGTCTCTGTCCCCGTGTCTCCTGTAGGTGTCCGCGAAGAGACAAGACGCCGACCCGAGGATCTTGTACCCCCCCCTCCCTCCCTCCCCCCCAGCTGGACTTATTCGCCTGAAATTATTTTTTCAGAGTTTTGTTTGTGCGTAAAAAGGCGCATTGAAGTGTCTGTGCCCCCCCACACAGCTCCAAGCAGCGCTGAAGGGATTTTTTATTTTATTTTATTTTTTAATCCGGGGGGGTGAGCAGAAACTTCAGCAGCTCTTTATCTTATTTTATTCCTTTATGTTTAATCTGCCATGAAGGAAGATGGTTTGTGACGGTGTGTGGAGCTGCTGGCCGAACCCCTTCCTGATCGCCCCCCCAGCTCTCATACTTTGAAGACTCCACCACCTCCTCCTCCACCTCCTCTTCTCCTCCGGGATGATTTTGTTCCAAACTGAGAGACTTGATTTGTTTGTCATTTCTGCATGAGAAGCTCCGAGGAAGGCGACGGTCACTATGCCGAGGAGAAAGCAGCAAGAGCCGCGGCGATCAGCAGGTATCCTGCTCCTCCTCCACCTCCTTTACTCCTCATCCTCAACTTCTATCTGTTCAAAATGACCCCCCCCCCCCCCCCTCTACATCCCGCATGCTGCCATCACCTCCTGTAAGCATCCTTGTGTTTGACACAGATCTGACACTTTCAGCCTCTTTCTCCTCATCTTGTCAGGAAAGTTGTAACGGGAGTGAGATGAACTGAATGTTGTTGTGGGCGATGAAACGGAGCGTTTGTGAGTAATGATGAATAATTGACTGGGGGGGGGGGGTTGTCCTGTTTTATTAGAGGATTGTCAGCTTTGATTGGACGTGTGATTGATCGCCTGTCGCTCTCTGATCCGTTCATCTCGTAAACGTAAAGGAAGTTCCTCGGTGACGTGAAGCAGAGCAGGAAGTGACCACAACAAGAAGTTCATGAGGGAAACGCTCTTCTGTAAATACATCAAACTCTTTATTTACAGTAAATTATAGAGCACAGGTGTTCTGCCAGGTGTTGGCAGAGGACCCACAAGGTTGACTTCTAGTGGTTTGGATCTGACCCCCCCCCCCCCCCTCCACTTGTCTCCCTGCAGCCTTTAAACTAATGTAAATGAGTGACAGTTTCTACCTCTGTGCTAATGAGGCCCGGCCTTTGAAGTTGGGCATTAACGGCCGCGGCGAACAAAAGACAGTTGCAGAATTTTAAAGAGATTTAGAAATATGAGGTGCAGCGCGGGTCGAACGGGAGGCCCGGCCGACGAGGCTTTGAACTCAGCAGGTTTTTATATCCTTTGGAGCCGGCGGTGGTGCTGAGGAGGAGGAGGAGGGTGGGGAACGTTCAACCGGTTGCTGAGGATTCAGATTTTTATTTTTTCTGTTTCGTTGACGTTTTGGGCGAAACGGTGGAGCACGGTGAGAGGTTCCCTTCAGGGTTCTGCATGACACACAACATGGCTGAAAAACAGCATTGATCCATTCCACTGTCCTCTGAGGGCCACAAACACCCGGGGTCGTAGCGGTTAGTCAACCTGCGAACGAAGCCCGCTCAGCGATCTCACCCCAAAAACATCTAGACCAGCCTGCTGCTCCTCGGGGATCTGGTCCTGACCCGTGGTTCCTGCTGCTCCAACGACTTGTAGTGGAAATCATCTGGCAGACGAGTCGGGACGAGTCGTTTTTATTTCTCACCTCCAAGTCGCTGCGTTACGTTCAATTTTAAACCAAAATCCACGTCTTACCTCCAGAAAAACGTCTCCCAAGTTTAGTCATTTAAAGAGTCGCAGCGTAAACATCTGATTGAGTTTATTCCTGCTTTTTATGTAAAACTTTTTTCTTTTCTTTTTTTAAATCCCAGCAGAAAATCCAGAAGGAATTGTTTTTAAAAATCCGTTTTTCCAAACAAAATAATTCCATCTTTCTGGATAATTTAGATATTTTTTTTCTTTGTGTATATATATTTATATAAATTAAAAAAAATCCTACATATATTTAAATTTGAATCGTATTTCAACTTTACACACCCTCACCCACCAGTTTCATCCGGTGGTTCTCCGGTGAACGCTCCGGGTTTTTGAGGCGACGAGGATGAAAATGACGAGCGGAGGAGAGGAAGGAGCGCTGCTGCTTCTCGTTCGAGGCAGTCGTCTCCTCAGATCGTCGCTGCTGCTCTTTGAAACACGTCGGTTAATTATAAGACTGTGTGTGTGTGTGTGTGTGTGTGTGGGGGGGGGGGGGGGGGGTTAAGGTTGCTTCCCATCGGCTTCATTAGACGCAGCCCTAATTATCTGTGCAGCTGATGGATTTGTGACAGGCCCCAACGATTAATGCTGACAAATTCAGTAAGGTGTCGAGTCCGCAGCTGCCTCAATGTAATCAACCTGATATTATACAGTCCCCGCGGCCCCCCAGTGCTGCACCCACTCAATTGGCCCCGCGCAGGTGACAAATGGACTTTTCTACCTGACTAATCACGTCAGGAGACAACGCCGCTTAATGACCTCTGTGACCCCCGCTGTCCCGCCTTTCCTCTGCCATCTTGTCAGAATTTCCCTGTTTTTTTTTCCCCCTTCTTCCAGTGGAGGGCTGTGATTTACCTGTCCGGCTCCTTTCATCCGTTTCCGGAGGTTTATTAAAATTATTCCTAATGTTCGTGTTGACGGCACCACACGGCTCAGACCTGCTCCGGTTCGTACTGGACTCTCAAGTCGTCCCAGAAACCGTTTTAGCAACAAAAATGTTGACATTTGTACTTTTTATGTGTGTGTGCGTGTTGGAGTTGCCCCCCACCACCACACAGTAGCCTGGCTCTGGATTGTTGTCCGCCCCCCCACCCCGGCGAAGGCCTCCGGTTTATTCCGAGCCGGAGGAGCATCGCAGCACCCCGGGATTAATGATTTTGCATGTTCGGGGCGGATCAGATTACACGGCGACCTTTGTGCTCTCGGCCCATGATGCTGTTATGCGATACTCTCCCCCTCCAAATAATCAGCATGCACAGATTTACGTGACCCCCCCCCCCCCCACACACACACACACACACACACTTCCTGAGGAACAACATAAATGTGTGTCCTTCGTTTCAGCATTTATTGTTGCTGTTTTTAATTATGACGCTTCTACCTAAGAATTACAACCATCTCCTTTGTGTGTGGTTTTTTTTTTTCTTTCGGGGGGGGGGGGGGGGGGGGGGTAGACCTGAAACTTAAAGCAGCTTTTAATTTGAAAGGCTCCGGTTGAAAAGTTAGTTTAAAAAGCATGACGTGCGTGAGACGAGGAGTGTGTGTGACCGGTGTCAGTTTTCCTGGAATGACAAACTCATGCGAGGGTAACGGTAATCACACCACGTTAGTCCTCCTCCTCCTCCTCCTCCTCCTCCTCCTCCTCCTCCTCCTCCTCCTCAAGAGGAGCAGGAAAACAACCCCCACCCTCACGCCCGTCCTATCTGCACAACTTCCTGTGAGGAGTGTGGGTGTCTGAGCGTGGATGGATCCGCTCCTCGTTGTCCAGGTGTGTGTACCTGTTCGCTTTTTAAGAGCTCGTCTATAAACACCCACCTAGGACCAGGAACCTTTTGGGGACCCAAGGCCGGTTCTAATACTGCAGAACGCTATGTTTGGGTTAGGGTGGGGGTCTGCAACCTGCGGCTCTTTAAAGCAGCATGAAATTAATTTGAATGGTTTTAAACTTGAAGCTTTAGTAGTTTTTCTGCAAAGATGTGCCACAAGGAGCAGAACGTGGTTCCGTTGAGTTCTTTCAGCTTCCAGCCTCACACTGGGATCTTTCTGCTAGAACATCTTTGGAATATTTTAGAACAAGTTGTTCAGAAGAAATGTGGAGAGTGGGTTTGATAACGAGAAGCGATTTAGGAAAATAAAACTACGTCAAGGCGAATAAAATAATTTGTTTTTCATTTCAATTATCAATAAGTCACAGTGACATCCAACAGAATGGCCTGTTTTCAAAGCACACTTTAAATTGATGCTTTACTACTCCAAAGTGGGGTACTTAATTCTTCTGTTTTAATTCTTATCAAAATAGGTGTAAACTTTATTTTTTAAATCTTCATGTTAATACAGTCTCTTCATTTGTTCTAAATGTAAAAATATCAATAACTGCTTAAATCTTGTATGTTTTTTAGCCTGGTAAACGTTCAACGAACTGAAAATGGCCCATGGGCCACCAGTTGATGGTAGCACAGCTGTAGCAGGTTTTGCGGCTCCGGACTTGTTCAGTTCAGAGAGCGAAGGGGCAGAAATGTCTTGTTTAAAAATAAATAAATAAAAGTTGCAGGGTCAGGCGGCAGAAATAAACTGAAACTATAAAAATGTCATTTCCTGTGAGTTGATGCTTGTTGCTGATTTTGCTGAACAAGCTAAAGCTTACCTGAAATACACAAATAACTGAAAAGTATAAAGAAGTTGAAAGGAGGACAACAAATGTGAAATTAACTAAAAAAGAAGCTAAAATTGACTGAAACGTTGAAATTAGTGGAAAAATATGTCTCGAAAGAGAAAAAAAAACTGAATTTGCAGAAAAATGCCAAAAAAATAAAAATCTTGAAATTAGTAGAAAGAAGTGTAACAGAGCACAATACAGCTAAAATTAGCAGAATATCAACAGAAAGTAGCTGGAAATAGTACATTATAAAAAAGAAGAGGAATTTAGGTCAAAATTAGTTAAAAACAGGAAAAAGCTTTAATGTAGCTGAGAAAGCATATAAAAGCTGAAATAACCAAAAGAAGACGATATTAGCAGAAATCAGCTTTAAAAGCTGAAAGAACCACAAAAAAATCAAATTGAAAGAAGCTGAAAAGAGCCAAAGGAAGCTGAAACAAGCTGAAGCAGAACAACAGCTGATGTGAGCTCAAAGTGTTTGAAGGACGTGGAGCTCCATTCATTTACAGTGAAGAAAACATGGCCGAAAAAGCTAAACATTTCAAAAAGTAGAAATGACACAAATACTAAAAGTCACAGCAGGGGCGTCCTGAATGAGCCGAACGTTTTGATTATGAATTGTTGAAACAGAACAAAAATATCAGAAGGAGTCAAACGTACGGGAGAATAACGGACCTTTAAAAACGATTCATGAACAAAGAATGAAGGCGATAACGGTCCTGACAAGGATAGAAATACAAACGTGTGTGTCAGTCAGACCCAGCTAGCAGCTACACCTGCAGGTGTAACACCCATCGACCTCAGCTAAAGCCACTTTAGCTCCTTCAGCTCACCTCTGACCATCAGATGTCACGCCCGCTCCACCTGATGGCTGCAGGTGTGTATTGTGTGTGTGCACCACCACTCCTACGTGCAGCTCCACCTCCGTATTAAAGAACCGTATTCAGAGCAGGTTTTGTGTCATGGAGAAAACGATCATCGTCATTCTAGTCGTCTGCACAACTTGGTTGTGATGAACTCACTCTGTGTGTTTTAGCTTCTAAACCAGGTGCTGGTGTTCCACACACTCGGTTGTGATTTTGTGCGACGCGTTACCGCGATGAGTTTTGGTGAACATGGCACAGCCTT